AAGTAAATAAAGAAATGAGCCAAACAGAATCATTTCTCAGTAAGTCGTCGACAAACAGACAACATATTATTCGAAGTTAAATGTATTTATCTTTATTTATTTATTATTTATTTATTTATTTATTTATTTATTTATTTATTATTTATTTATTTATTTATTATTTATTTATTTATTATTTATTTATTTGTTTATTTATTGACTTTATTTATTTATTTATTTATTATATTTATTATTATTATTTATTTATTTATTTATTTATTGTATTCTATTTATTTAATTATTATTTATTATTTAATTATTTATTTATTTATTTATTTATTTATTTATTTATTTTTTTCATTTATTTATAACCATATTGTATTTATTATATTTATTTATTTAGTTTATTTATTTTATTATCTTATTATTGCTCTTGGGTTGTTACATACAAGGTCTGTCCAAAAGTTAAGTTGAAGGACCTTACGCCCCGAGCAAGCCACTACAAGGCGCGCAATTGACGGTGAATGGTTGTGTGGGTTATAGAACCAAGGAACAATACACGATGAATGTGTCTGCAGTCTTCCAACAGTCGCAATCGCTGCTGTGTCTTAACCCTTGTGTTTAGTGATCTCAGAATTTTTAAGATGCACGTTTCAGAAGACCAGCGTTACGCAATAAAATTTTAGTGTGCGCTCAACAAAAGGCCTGAGACGTTGCCATGCCTAAGGAAATGATTGATGCGATAGCACCATTGTCCACCATATGACTACGCCTGCACAAGATGTTTCGACGAGGGCAGAAGAGGACGCAGGAGATTGAGAACCGCTCTGGACGCCCGTTCAATCGTCACATGTCCGATCAAAAGTGAAGAAGGTGAGGACATGGCTGAACCCTAATTTGATCGCCTGAGAATTAGAAGCTGGCAGATAGTGTATTATCCTTAGAAAAGTACTGTGCATCGCATGTACCGCCAGTTTGGATGCGGAGAATCTGTCGAAAGATGGGTCCAAAGTTCTTTCCGATGAACGAAGCTGCCGTGCAAGATTCGCGTGACCTCGATGAAGCAGGTGAAAATGATCCGAAATTTTTTGATAATGTTGTTACAGGTGACAAGAAACATGGTTTCGAGTATGACCGGAGCCAAAAGACAATGCCTGCTTGGCACACGCCAGCTTCCGTCGCGCACCAAAAAAGCGAGATGAGCAAGTCCCGTGTAAAAGTCCATGCTATCCTTGGTTTTTCGACAAACGAGCATGTCCACTCAGATTTTGTGCCACAAGAACAAACAGTGAACAGTCATTTTTACTTGCAAGTCCTCAAAAGCTCCAAAAGCATGAGTGAAACGGCGTCAGGAAGAGATCGCCAGCGACTCGCGTCTTCACCATGACAACGCCCGTCGCACACCTCCATTATTAGGAGAGTTACTTAGCCAAACCGTGTGGCAACATTGCCCCAGCCGCCGTACAAACAAAAACACCCCGACTTGGCACCAGCTGAACTTTTGTTCCCGAGGATCAAGAAAGAATCAAGGGCCACCATTCGGAACTTTGGAAAGCTGTCAAAGAAGCAACGACAGGTGCGTGAAGGAGGTCCCGTCAACGCCCTTCCAGGTGCGTTCAGCGACTGGAAAAAACCTGACTCAGGTGTTCCGAAGCGGAAGGAAGCTACTTTGAGAGAAATTTTATTTACTGTATATTTATCTGCAATAAATATTTTTTCTTGGACTTATTCAACTTACTTTTGGGACAGACCTTGTAGATCAGTTTCCACTCTTTCATTTGTATTGTTGACTTACTACTAACTTAAGATATGCTTAACCTAGTTCTATTATTGCTACTACATTGGTGTAGATTCCTCATGACAGTACCTACTGTTCACCATTGCTTGAAAAAAATATTTATGAAGGAATCGAACGGGTATCTGTTGTTTATTCCGGTTTGTTTGTTGTATGTTGAGGCTAAATTGTATTGTTTTAGTTGATCTATTGAGTTTATATTGGAGTAAAAGTTATTGGATAGGCGTGCTGTATGGTAAGTGAGTGAGTTCATGTTTAATTTTCTGTGGAGTTGTTGATTTGAAATGACCCATGGGGCAGTAATGATTATTCTGAGATAGTTCTGGACTACTTGAATTTTTTTACGTTAGATGGTGCGGCATTTGTTCAGATGGGACATGCATATAGCATTATGAGTCTTATGATAGTTTTATTGAATGTTATTTCATTTGTTAATGAAATTTCGAGTTTTTATTCAGTATTGATTTGAGTTGAATTAATCTGATTTTCGCCTGTTATATTTTAATGTTAATGTGTTGTTTGTTTCAGTTGAATCTTTTAGTCCTAAGTATTTAGTAGGTTGATTTGATGGTGTCCAGTTCTTTTTGCTATTGTTTATTAGTAACGGTAAATGTGATGGCGATCAGATGAAGTGAAATAAACGTATCGGATGAAATATACGCATGTAACTGGTGAAAAGTCAACGCGAATGGCTGTTACCTTCTCACATCACAATGTTACAACATGGGTTGCAAATTGCAAAAAAGAGTACCTCGAGTTATGAGAGCTGCTGTTGACCAATACGTCGGTGACTCCAAGCCCCCCAAAACCAACCCAGCTGATACCATCTTGGGCAACCTTCTTTAAAATTACCTTTTACACTGTTGTTTGTGAAAATTGCAACACCTAGAAGGAACGGTCGTAATCACTTAAAAATCAGAGAATGTGTAGAAGATTGTGTACAAAAGATGTGATTAACTTTGCATAGAGATAGCGTGCACGAGAGTCAAGTAGTAGTACCTTCATTTGTGTGGCAGGTCAGGTCAGTGTTACGCCATACTCAGTCGGTGTAGAGCGGACAACCGACCTGTAAATGTGCCAGCAAGTGTCGGATGCCTCGTCGACACAAAAGAGGGCTATATCAGCATCTGAATGTGTTCGAACGGTGCAGAATGATCGGTATTCGAGAAGCGGGTTAGTTATACCGTGACATTGCAGCTCGAACGGTTCGCGCTGCTATGGCAGTGATGTGTGTGTGTGTGTGTGTGTGAAACCAGATGGTCGTACACAGAGACAAGCTGGTACTGGACCACACAATGCGACCACAGCGCGAGATGATCGATAAGTTGTCCGCATAGCTATATCATCAGAACGGCGGCCTTCAGTGTTGGTTCGACTTTGGAGCACCGCAACGGGTGTGGTCCTTTCTGGGACGGTTCGACGCCGTCTGCTGAAGGCTTGTCTGGTGGCACGCACACCACTGCGTTGGATTCTGTTGACCAAAAATCATCAATGCCTCGGACAGCAATAGGCACATGAACGTGTTCACTGGTGTGCTGAATATCAGAATGTAGGGTTTTCGAACAAGTCCCGCTTCAATTCTGGCACAGCGATTGCCGCGTGCGTGTTTGACGCGATCGTGGTGATCGCAATCTGCTAGCCAGCATTGTTCCGCGCCATATTGGACAAACGACAAGTGTGATCGTTGGGACGCCTTTGGCTGCAATGTAAGATCTTTCCTCATACGTATTGAGGGCAATCAGAACAGCACCGCTACATCAGGGAGGTTCTAGAGATCAGGGTACTGCTCATCCTGATCGCAGCACCACATGCCATATTTCAGCAGAACTATGCCCGACCGCATATGGCGAGGAATGTGCAAGCTTTCTGCGAAGAACGATATGTACTACTTCTTCCCTGGCCTGCACGTTCGCCTGACATGTCCCCCATCTAACATGTCTGGGATACGATTCGTATGGCAACTTGTTCGTTTTGGTCCTCGTGAAGCCACTGTCGATGCTTTGTGGTCACGCATAGAAACAGCGTGGCAGTATGTTCCCCAGCAGCATACCCAAGCAGCTTTCTTTGAAACCATGCCACGGCGACTAGAGACTTTGATGGCAGCGCGTGGCGGCTTCACACCGCACTAAACCCTCTAGGTCAAAATATAGGTACAGTTCTCTAATTCTAATCATTTGTATATTGTGATATTCCTAATCTGTGGAATAAATTCCATCGTAATAGTGTGTCTCCTTCTTGGTGTAGCAATTTTCACAAACACCAGTGCCTTGACAAGCTCCTATATCTTTTCTATTCATCAAAATACTCTGTCGAAGACGTTTTTAACTTTAGTCTTTATACCGGCAAAGGTGGTTCAGATCTGACGTCACTGCAGTGCCACTGATCGAGAGGTCCGAGAGTTCGAGCTCCAACAGCAGTAGGATTATCGACTCTGCCTAGAGTGTTAGGTTGATTGCAGCCGCTCTCTGGAAGAGAACTCTAGCGCCCGGCTGGGGCGGTGCCATGTTGGCGGGAGATACCTGTTTGGGGGAAAACCCCCGCTATCCGACGTAGGTCGGCGCTGGATCACGACATCCAGCGGGGGAAGACAACCCTTCACTACACTTACAAGACTAATGACCTTAGCAGTTGTCGCGCGAATCGCTAATCTACCAATTACGTCTTTATGCTTTTCAATTTAATTGGATTTCCCCCCTGACAGTTGACAGTAGAGTTAGATTGGAGATTCCTCTTGCAGTCAGTACCTTGATGAACTTTTATTATAATGATAACTACTACTACTCGCAAAATCTTTATTATTCATCATCAAAATATATTAACTGTAATTATGAACGTCTATTGACAAAAAAGATTAATTGGAGAACAACTGTAATGAATCTCTGTTAACAATCAAGAGTATTGCCTTGCAGAATCCAAGAAAACACACTTTTGTGTTATTAAAGATATTGAGGTGAAGAAGAGGACAATGTTTACTTCTAAGTCTATGTCTTTAATTTTTGTTGTATTATAACAAACCAAAGAATGCTGTACTTGATTAAACAATCTCTACTTTTAAACACTTTTTCACAAAATATATTATTTGGGGGCAGTTTGGATAGGATGTATTGCCCATCTTCAATCAAACTTGTTTAATAACTATTGATCTGATTAATCAGGAGGCATATTTTCAAATTGATTGATTATTTAGTGAGAAAAATGTTTAATAAGTCAAGATCGATTAATTCATAAATGATCTAGTTCACACTCTCACAAGTATTCTATTGTACTTATTTTCAAAGATATTAATTTCCTTGATGAGGTGGCTTAATCTTTCTAATATTGTGGTAATATATGACACATATGTCCAAATGAAAAAAAAAAAGCATATGATTCTATTTTTAAAATGTTTATTAACAGATTTTGGTAAGTAGCCTATATAATAAATTGATAATAAATTGTAGGTGCCAAAGAACATTTTTATGTATATGAAATACATTTTCTACAATTTCTGGAAAAAATTATATTCAGTCTGATGAGATTAATCTCAAGAAAATTAATAGTTTATTCGATTTCCTTCTATTGTGGCATTGACCTGGCACATAACACTAAAATTATGGGGAAATTATGGAATGTTCCTGAGAGTCTTGAAATTATACAAACACATTCTGAAATGAAAATCTTTCTTCCTAGTTTTTATTTTTAAATTAATTATTTTTTTAAGTTTTATTAGAAAAATCAAACTCTCATTGCTTTCTCAATACCAACACAGAAAAGTCAACATCTGACATTCCTTCTGTTTCAACCTGTTCTCTTTTAATCTGTCATTTCAGAATGTATGGAACAACAATTTTTTTTATAAGTAGTCTACTAAACTGTTATATAATTTTTAAAAGGTTATAATATTAACATGATCCCATAGGGATCAAGATATATGAACAAACTCGGTTAAAATTGTAATGAATGTTTATTACTGTAAATTTTCATTTTCTGTTAGATCAGAATGTATGCTGTCAATAAAGTCAGAGTTACTGTCAAACAAGCCCAGTAATTGCATGTGAGAATCTAATTCCATTTCCAAGCAAAACTCATCATCGATGTACAAATCCTCAGTAGAGTTCATCTGAAACATTTAAACGAATAGTAAGTAATTATTTATTCTTAACATGTAATATTTGATCATTTCAGTGACACTGCATTTACTGACCTGATTCAGTAAATTTTGGTCAAATTCTCTTGAAATTGTGAAAATGCCTGAATCAGTAGATTCAAAACCATTGTCTTTTGATTCTGTGTCAGAATTACATATATCATGACCTTTTTGCGATTGACAATCTATTTCTTCTGAATACTGATATCCATTTGAATCTTGTTTATGGACATATTCAGAATGTTGTCTGTTTTCAAGTTTTGGGTTTCGAAGAATCCTGTAATGTTTTCTGTTTTCAGTCGTAGAGTATTTAGAACAAGTTGAATTATTTTTTGTTTCAATTGCCTTGGTAGAACCTGCTTTTTGATCTAGAGACTCTGGAAATGGATGAGAAATAAATACATTTTACTTGTTAGTTTGATTCTGAGTGACCTTCATTAATCACGACATTCATCAGATTATTCACCAATGTAGTTGAATTTGAAGTTCTATTTTTGAACTTTTCTATATTTTCCATTTTTATTTTCAGAATATGAACTTGTGCAATGTGCTTGTCAGATTATTTGAAATTATTGTGCATTTAATAGGCTATGATTTAATCTAAGTTTCTTGATTAAAAATAAATAATTTTGAAAATTAATTACTATTTTTATTTAATACCCACTAACTATTAAATTATATTATCTTGAGTGATTTTTAAATAAATACCAATCAAAAATTGAATTTCTTATAATTCTATTAGTTTTGTGAAATAGTAATGTAATCTTCTATTGTATAAGAATAATAACCTTGCTCAATTTGCAGGTCTTGATGCAATTTTATAGGTACTGATGTCTCCCATTTTCTTCCTTTTTCAGAAGTGGTATTTTCTCTGGTTAACCATCATGAAACATAAATATTTATAGGTTAGTGCTGTGAACATCATACAGTATTAATACATATCATTATCATCATCATCATCATCATTATCATCATCGTCATCATCGGCATAGGCATCGGCGTCATAAACTGCAAGTTGCGAGGCCTGTCGTCTGTACCAGTTTCCCAGTAGACCAGTAGGCTTACACCTCCAGGTGTTTTTAAATATGGAATATACTAATACATGTGGGAATCTGATCAAGGTCTTTCAGGTTTTCCACATGAGAAAGCAGAGAATGTGCTCATCGACACTAAAAAATTGAAGGAGTTGCAGAAAGGCACATGTGGCAGTCAGTCATATGAGAAAGTGTTGATCATGTGCAGTTGTTTTCTTTTGAAATTTTTTCACAATATACTTTTTTTTTTTAATTAAGCTTGAGTGTTTCTTTAACTATGCCGAATAATCTGATTCCCACATACATGTTATACTAAACAGGACATTAAGACTTTAAAACTCTGCCTTACATTTCCTTCCACCTTTTCATTATGAGTATGTGAGGTGTGATTTCCTTTATGAAAATGTGAACAATTTTTGGTGGTACTGTCACTAAGCATTACTACACATGATTTCATTAAAGTGTGTTTTTAAAATAATTGTTTATATAGTAATTGCTACGGCATGATTGTATTCTTTTAAGTAGCATTATGTTTCTCAAAATTTACCATAATTGCATTTTAATAATGATTACAAGAGCTATTGCTACTTGTTTTCTTAAAATGAGAGTATTTTTTTATAATGTAACAAAATGTAACAATCAAAATTCCTATGATTCGGACCCAATAAATATGCATTTAATTTTTTTCTGAGTTGCTTCAAAGTACATGTTCATTTAGAACAACAGACACTATAATATTATTTTTTCAAATATATTTATTAACTTTTAACATTTCAGCTCTAATTAGTCTTCTTCAAAAAATCTAAAAATACTGAAAGACAATGCAATCAAATCATGGATATTAAATTAGTAAAACATTATTAATAATACAATAAAAACAAAATAATAAAACAAATTGTGACATACCATGAGTACAAGTTTGTATAAAAGACTTAGTATAAAATTTAAAACAGGTAGCATTTTATATAAAATTTGTTGACATTATTAAACGTACAGGTATATAGACACAAACCACCATACCTTTTTAATAACACCCGAATTAGGGTTGAAACATTTGAAGTTAATAAAGTATTTGAGAAAATAATATCCTAAGGTCAGAATACTTCTACAACTTAAGAGATAGACTGACATTAATCTAGTCCATTTTGAACTGTACAATTGGTCTGCAGTGGCAAATCTGCTGGTGAACAAAACCACACATAATGGTACACACATTCTGCAAGAATAACAAATAAAATAATCTCATAAAACACTGCATTACATTGAATATTTTAACCAAGAAAGCATCATGAATTCAGATACATAGTAGACCTATTTCCTTCATACCAAGAATATAAAATATTGCTTTTTCATAACTTATAAATAGCAAATACTTAATGGTGGGTGACTTCTTCCTTGGAGACTTGGTTTCAAATTATGATAACCGTGTCGTAAGCAGTGAAGCACTGATTATGAAAGTTAAGTTGTACCCGCAGTAAAAGAAGAGGCGCAATAACACTATCAAATATACACATTTTTGAATCGAAATCAAAAAGAAAATCCACACATCTCATGTGGCCAGATGCTGCATAGTTTTCTTTCAATTTCTGCGCGTAATGGAAATTAGTAATATAGTAGATGTTTTTAGATTTTCTCAAGTTCTTTTTCCATTGTTTCTAATAGTTTTGCCATTGAATAAACAGGTTGCAAAAAGGCCAGGGTAAAAGGTATTCTTTCAATTTCTGTTCTTATTAGAAATAACTAATACAGATACGATGCAACTAGGTTGTGAAATTAGGCTTTATTGCATACGTACAAGTTTTGAACAACGTTAGGAGCAAGGTTTTAAAATTTGTAGAAGAGTTGAAAAGACTTTTTAAAATTTTTTTTATTACAGCATTATAAATTTCTAACAGATTCAATGTTAATTTTGAAAAAAAATTCATAAGGAAAGTTTTGTAAATTGCAACAGGGACATTGATAGGACCTTTGTGCAAGAACAATGATTGGTTGTGCGGCTTCTCCCCCACCTCCCCCTCCCGCGCCACAATTCGCTAAATGGTTAATACACCATAAGCTGTACTATAAAATGCCTTTTTAAGCACCATTTATTGTGGGTCATTAATAATGTTGGTATGCACACAAATTTCAATGAAGTATCTTATTCATATATTATTTTCGTACATCATTATAATTTTCAGTAGGAATATCTCTACCTTTTTCATGTATTATCATTATCTGTTCCATGTATAGAATAACACAGGAACCTAATAACTATGTTGCCAAAATATAAGGAGTTGTAGAATACATGCAATAAAAATTTTAAAATAAGGAACCTGGAATTGGAAATTCATGATTATAATGGAAGAAATTAACATATTACTGTATTTTTTTGAACATAAAAATATGGCATCACTGAAATTTTCAGCCAAAAAACTGAGGGGTGCTTATAGGTGAGGGATCTGTATACAGCGGAGAAAATAGGTATAAGCATAATCACTACAACAGAGGTAATTCTCTTAGCAGATAAATATATTTGCTTTCTTATCTCAAGAGACTATTCACTAACTTGAGACTAACAAGAGAGATTAATGAAAATGTGATAGTGAGTAATTAAAAAATAATTAATTAAATTATGGTAGTAATCTTCAATCAGAACAGTATAGAGTAAATACACAAACATGTCACTATGTACACTTTGGTGCCTATTGCCTATTTTGTAGTTACGTATTAAATATTTTTGGTTCCTCTCACAACCACCCTCTCTCTTCTTCCTCCCCTTTATATTTTATTAACAGAGTATATCAAATGTACTTTCTGTAACATAACATGATATGCACCTGGAACATAACTGCACTGATGGCGTAAATGTAAGATCATGTTTCATACCCATCAGAGAAGATTGTTTTCAATTATAATTTTCAACATGGCATTCTTTTAAGGGAGGTGAAAGTTAGGAAGTGATGGATTCACTGATGTGCAATTAGAACTTCAGGAGACATTTCAAGTGCAAGGAAAGCAACATTCACTTCCCGAAAGCAATGCAAGGCAATTTGCTCTATTGGTTACCTAGAAGGCACAAAAAGCCTAGTAGCAGTGATGGTTATTGAACCAGAAGAAATTCATCAGTAATCTATTTATCCTATTTTGTTTTGTTTTTTGACTCATGTTTTAATTTGTTTTTATATTTTTAAACTAGAAAACTGATGATGATGACTAAGCTATCGAAAGCTGCTGTTGTAATAAACAATATTGTTGGCAATGACAACTCATATAATTATTTCATTTTAAATGCCAACAACTCACCACAATACCAATACAGTGACATTTAAAACCACGAATTCTGCAGAAAAATACTTTACCTTTGTTATGAACTTTATTATTTTACTATTTTGATGTGACAACATTGTATCCAAGAATTTTTTATGTCCTTTTAATGGGATGTACTGATAATACTTTTCGAATCAGACAAGTGATCTACAAACGGCTCACCCAGATTTTAGAAACTCACCTAGTATTCATAGAATTAAGAAAACCCTACAACACCATTCCATTGAATAAACTCTGGGTGGCCATGGTAAAGCAAGATGTTAAGATGTACTTTCTGAAAGCTGTTAAAGACATGTGCAGCAGAACTGTAAGTGAAATTAAAATTGGAAGAAACCTTTCTGAACCATTTACTGTAGTAAATGAAGGCATGGCTTATGGTAGGGGTGTTTCTTAGCTTATACCCTATTTAAATTATATTTAAATGTAGCTTTGAAAAACTGGAGGAGAAACTGTTGCAAACTGAGTATAAAAGTTGATTATTCCATTCTTTTATCTCTTAATTATACAGACGAACAAGTTATCTTTGCTGAGGAGAAAGACAATGTTTTGTATATGATATGAAAACTTCATGAAGAGTTCTTGAATTGGAGGCTTGGGATAAATTTTAACAAAACAGAGTATCTGGTTGTAGGAGGAGATGCCAGAACTCTGTGGATATGTGAAGGACCAGAATTGAAATCTTGCTTTGCATCACTTAATATGAAATCAAACTCTGAGGAAGAGTGTTAAGAGAAGATATATAAGACTATCAAAGAGAGTAATGCCACATATGGGAAATATCGAAATGTATGATGCCCTCTAAAGCTCAGGAATTGGCAATCAGCTTCACACAGAAGACGAGGAAGCCCTAGAAGAATGCGGAAGGAAGGAATGAAGAAGGCATTAACTGCAAGAAAATTAACTGCAGAAGACTGCAGTGATAGACTTCAATGGACTCTGGGACATGTGAGATCCCTGATGATGTACAATACTTGCAGTACTACTACTTCATGGGGTATTGCTAAAACAAAGACCTTGCAGCTTATAATCTCTGGAGTGCCATATATTGTTCCATACAGGTGTGCCTTTCAAACCCTTGCCTGCTTTGCTGGATCTATTACCCTGAGGTGAATTATTATGAAGGAATGGGAGGCATGGGAAGTGAAGAAATAGCGAAGAAAACTTCAACAAACCACCTCTTTATCCACCACATAAATTCACCAGTATTAAAACCACACTGCCATAATTGCAAAGCAAAACTTGTAATTATCACTATGGTGAAGTTAAAGTAGTGATGATATAGTTGCCTTACTTTTGACGTAGATTGACTTCATGTTGAATGTTTTGTTCATAATTTAATTTTGTAGAAATGCTTCTGAAATTAATTGCCTGAAATATAAAAATTTGAGCACATTATAATGCATTATCACATTGATCTTTGTGTTACTATTCATTGATTAGATATTACCCTTTGGTTCAAATGACTTGCTGGCTTGATAGGCACAGCCCTAGAAAAACTGTTTTCCAGTTGTGATGGAAATAACAACTTTTGTGTTGGTAGAATGAAGTTTTTTTTCTCCTCACTTCTGAAAAAATAAATTGCTCTTGTTCAGTTTAAGACAAATAAAACTTACTGTCTATTGCAAAAATATTTTATTTTTTATATTTCATTTTTAAACAAAATGTAGTTAAAAACAACATTAGCTCCTATGTTAAATATGTAATAAAAATAGTTTTAATTTAATTTTAATGTAGGGATGTGATTATTTTAATACTCACAATTGTGATATTTCAAAATTTCCCTTAATTCTCTTGTTAATAAACTGACTGCCAATTTGTGTTTTGTGAATGGTATTATTTTGTGTGCTGTTATCACATGGTTTGTTGTTTTCCAAATGATAATGATTTTTTTCTTGGAATTTATTGACACATTGTTTGGTGAATTTTTGTGTACTGATAATTTTGTTTCCTCTATTAATACTTGTTGGAGAATGTAGGTTCACTGCCAAAAAAAGAAATTCCTCCATTAGGTGAAAAATGAAAAAAACAAAACAATAGCTTATTAGGCATCTACATAACACTCAGAAAAGTATGTATGTTTTATTTAAATGCTTTATATTTGAGACAGAACGAAATGTAAATAGTCTCCACCACAACATCTATTCTTGAATTTCAAATTACTATAGCTAAATGTATTAACAAACATTTAAAAAATATTAATTGCAAATTAGTTAAACTGCAACTTATGTCATGTTCATTTTCTACCTACAAAAGAACAATATTTCTTCCTTAAATTGAAGTTAATTTAAGACAATTCCTTTGAAGAGAGGAAATCAAATGATCATTGGTGGATCCTTTAGCTTTATCGAAAGAACTTTTGTATCATTCTGTAGCTCTCTTGACTCTTGTGTGTTTAGTAATGTGGAAATTGAAGACAAGTTCATTTTAGAATATTTATTTGATTTTCATTATGCTTCAAGACCTCACCTATATCAAGGCTTGTTGTGGAAGGTGCTTTCCCGTTCAATTTCTGCCAACTATTAGGAACCCTGAAACATTTCCAGTAAGGTACTTTTTAATAGAATATTTAATGAAGAATTGGCTATAAACAGGAACATTGGATTTTTCTTGCTTAATGTAATAAATGTGTCCTTAATAACTTCTTTTGAATAAGTATTTTACTGATTCACTTACTTCACTTTTTTGTAAAAAATTAAACAACAACTAAATAAGTTCAGCATCTGGATGAGTTCTATTTATATGCTTACAATCAATGGATGCAATGATGCACTTTCTTTTTATTGAGTTTTTCTATTACTTATAATTGTAATTTAAAAGCTGATGAGAGTTCTGTCAATGAGGTGATTGCACTTAGATGGCTTATGTAGAAGATTAAATTATAGTAAATTCTTGGTTTCAGAACTGAGGCCTGGAGATTGAGTAGTTTACACTCTGATTATTAAGGCGACTTCATATTTGATACAGTTTTAATATAATGATATCTTTTGGAGAAGCAATTTGCCATTGTTCTATTTCTGTTTGCTCACCTTTTCAATCCAGTATAAGGATCTCTTTCATGTTTATCATACTGTTTGCTTGTAGTCAGTGTTGCCTTTTGTGGCCTTGGCTGGAATAACAATTGAGTTCTTTCCAGGGACCCAATTAAATGTATAGGTTGAATATGCTCTGAAACCTGTGAGATATATTATTCAAAGAAATGCTTTATTCAGAACTTTTGGAAAATTATTACCCTTTTTTTTAATAATAATAATAATAATAATAATAATAATAATAATAATAATAATAATAATAATAATATTTTATTGAGTCACATATACAATTATTTCTTAAAGGTACTAGCAACTGAAGTTTATATACCAAGTTGGGAGTTGAAATTGGCAATGCCTGTAATTTATGAACCAGAGACAGCACATCTAGGAAACAAGATATCCTCTTCTTTGGGTCAATTTTTAACATTTGCTGCATACAGAAAATGAAGCCCTCATTTTTTGTATGCACAAAAGATGATGGCAAACCGTCAGATTCCAGAGCACAGTGCAGTGATTTATATTTAGTCACAATTTCATCTTGTGTGTAGCCACACCATGGCTCTGCATCTGCAAATTGTACATGCAGTAAAAGTAATGTAGATTGTAACACTTTAAGAATCTGCAAAAAATAGTAGCAGGTTTGTTTAATTTTTCATGAAAAATTATGTTATTTATATGTGAATGGAGACACAATTATTCATTACCCAGATGTGAAGCTACATACAAAAGACAAGAAATATTTCAAAATTCAAAATAGAGCTCCATATTGCTTTCAGAAGGAGACCCAGCATTGCTAGAAATATTTTGCTAACTTTCAAGGACTTACTAAAATCTATACCACTATCCATTTACAAAAAATTAATACTGATCCTTAAAAGGTAAGTATATGACTTTCCTTGTTTTAATACATCCTATATGTTATAGTTTACTTTCTGCCAGCTGATGACTCATTAAATTGTCAAGAGAAATATCATGTGGAGTTTTTACCCCAGTGCAAGTGAATTCAGAAGCAGTTTCAGTGTAGAATTTTCCTAATATTGTTTCCCATATTTTCCCCAACTTTTGTAAAGAAATGATGAGGTGATATCGCGTGCATTGAGAAACCAAATAAAATAAAACAAAACAAAGGAAACCTGTCTTGTTAAATAGAGAATATTAAAAACCTTTTGCTCAAAATATGCATGTTTACACTCCCTCATAAGAAAATAGATGAATAATCAAATAATTAGTTAATAAGTGGGCAAAAGATAAATGAATATATATATATGTATATATACTATAAATGATCAAACAAACAGAACTCACTGGTGCACATTTCCCAGCTAATGACTCCAACACTAAATATATCAGTTTCTGGACTTAAAATAGTCACTCCACTAAGTTGTTCTGGAGATTTCCAAGGAAACCATTGTTTATTGAGATACTCGGATGGTGAATTATCATCGTCTATCTGTCAATGGAAAGAAATCATATTGCTCAGGTGTCATCATTATGCCCCTATACAGTTACATGATTCTATCACTACTTGAATCAACTTCCCAAAGAAACAGAGAGTAGGTGGATGTCCCACTCATTAGTTTGGGGAAATGTAAGGTCTCTGAAGTTCTTAATGTATATAAAACTTAAATAAGGGTAATGTGAGGTTATTCCAGTGAGGTCATGGGTGAACTTAAGAAAAGCTTTATGGTGCTTCAAGTATTGATAGTTTCGCAATTGAGAGTTTCTTCAGCAAACACCAGTATTATTTCTTATATCTCACATTACACATAATCCTAATTAAATTTTTTCAGGAGTAAATAATGGCATCTGATATTTTGGGTGATAATGAGATTATTGGCCATTTGTGAAGTAGAGGGAACAGATGTCTTTACGTACTAAATTGTTTCAAGTACACTACAAATACAATTACAATTCTTTAAACATTATGGAATATGCACTATTTTGTGGCAACAGTAGTATCACATGACATTTTCTTACAAAATGTGAAATATTAGATTACTATTATTTACACTACAATGCCCCATTTGACCACAATATAATCTTTATTTTTATAAAATTACATATGATAACAACTCATTTATGATATTATTTGAGTTTTTTGTTTTTATCAATAATATAGTTTTTACTTACTAGTAAATGTGTAACAACACTAAGACTATAAATGAACATTTGAGAATTTCAATAAAAAATTAGGTACGAAATTACGAAATAAAAACGAATAAAGGATTACACAATGTGAACCTCAAGAGGAAAAAGTTGATAAGGGCATAACTGAAAATGTTACTCTCATTTCCGATGATGTTGTTTTTAGTCTGCCCCCTTGTAAATAATTCTTGATTGCCTTTTGTATATATGGCATAGTCAAACATCGAATTCGGCCAGTTATCGAATTATTTACCACGACGAGAACACATTTGATCAATCGCAGAATTGCACATTAATTTTGGTCTTTGTGCAAATATGAACTGAGAATTAGAACGTTTTCATCAATGGAAAACGTGTTTTGGTGTAAAATGCGTTGGAATTTATCCATTCGAGAGGCTCAAGGATGATTTTTGTCAGTTGAAAAAGCTGGAGCTTCGTGATGCGATTGGGCATGCGTAGCTAAGCGTCAACTTGCCCATGGTGGAAGAAATATGTCCACCTGAACTCGCCTAAAAAGATTGAGGTTTAAAATATGCCATTCCGCTCGTGTTCCGAGTCAGAAGAAAGAATTTTACTAAGTAAAAGTTTCGGTCATCGGGCGAAATTGGTGTTTGAGTTTAACGTGAATAATTTTATTTTTTAATATTCTTGAGTGATGAATACAATATACTTTTACAAAGGAATGTTGAACTGAAGTAGCTGAAGACGAAATATATAATTTGAGAACAATAATCGGAATTTCTTTTAAATTTTTTCAAGACCATTGTTTATTGTTGTTTTTTCTGTTTTTTTTTTTTTATAAATATGCTTGAAGTAGTAATATGAATATTGCTATATAATGCGTTTAAGTTTCGCTATAAATTAATAATTACTGTTATATTTATTTTTACTTTTATTCCATGTAATCCGCTTTCACAGGCATGTCATAAATTTTTAAATAAATTACACAAGAGGCTCCTTATCTTACCACATTTAACTTCCTTGCCATTTCAAATCCTGTTAATTTGAGGGTAGAATTTGCAGTAATGACAATGCTGTGGGAAGTGATTGCCGTGTGAAGCCAACCTCTTTGATGTAGGAACAACATGACATGACACAACTGCGTCAAGAACTTCTGTATCTCCGTTGGAGGAAATGTTGTCTTCTGAAAATATCAAAGAATTTTATTTTATGTGTTTGTGTGTACTATTACTTTTCAAATTTGTTTCCATATAATATTGATTTTTAATGATACATTACATAAAATTATACATTTTCCTATAATAACGGGACATAACAAATCATTTTAATATACAATGAAACCTACTCTAATTTTCACCTCTATTAAACGGTCGCCTAAATTTACGACTATTTTTACTTTCCCGTATACACGGAGTAATACGTAGTACAGGAAAAGTTGTGTAATGCTGCGGAAAATCGATTTCGAGATTTCAACGGAAATTCACGTTTTGGGGTCCCTTGATACCGGAAAATATTTTATTATTTTTATTTCTGTTTCAAAACGTCCGTTCGTGAACACTAGCGCCTAAACCACACGTAGGATTTATTCTAAAATGAATATTCCCCGGTCGATCTGGCTCAACTCGAGGCGCTGCGATTTTGCAAATCTCTTCAAAATTTAGGGGTTCTTTACATGAAGCCCTCCGGACATTTTCAAAACTTCCTCAAAAACGGCTCCATTTTTTTCTTTAAATTTCTTGTAAAAATAGAGTAAAATATACTTATAAAGGTGGCATGGGTCCAATTTTCAGGGTTAACTCTGAATTTTCGAAACTTTTGAAATTTTTCGGGCGTCATCCTACAACTACAAAATTGAAGGTAGAGCTTTTTCCTTCAAATAAAATTTGTTCTCCTTAGCAAGTTCTTTCATTGACATGCACTGTTTTTTAAGTTTAGTAGTTTTTGCGCAATATTGCGTGCAATTTGTGCAATATTAAACAAAAACATGATTTTCACAAAAACGGCTCCAATTTTTTTCTTGAAACTTTTAGTAGGAATAGTGATAAATGCACCACAAATGTCATTACTCTCTATTATTTTGTTTTTCAAAAATTACAAAAGTGTATTTTTTACATCTCTTTTGTATTAATAATTACATTAGCCGCAATTTGTTCACATTATTATATTTATGAGTACATGCGCTTTAAATAATGCCATAAAAGTTTCTCGAAAACTCAACCGTTTAGTGTGAAAACTAGCTCATAATTCTGGGTTTTCAGAAACGCTCAAACGTCATTTTCTAAAATTTCGAATTTACAGTAGCGCTTAAACGCCATTTTCTTAAAAACTGCTCTAAATTTTAAAAGAAAATTGCCATTTAGGAGACGAAGTTTTACTGTTCTTGAAATAATATTTCCGTTCTATAAGGAAACCGAAATATTAAGAAAAAAAAAAGAAAGAAAGTACTTTGGGCGGCGATAGATGGCAAGAGTATGTGGCAAGTCCGAAGAGCTAGCCGAGGCCAAAGGAAATAGAACACTAATACGCGAAAATCTATACCATTCTGTAGCACCACTAGTTTCTTATTGATTTTTCCATAAGGTAGTGTGAATATTTATTCTTTTCAGCGGCCAGGCATATTTCATAGATTGACCTTTATTAAGCTATCTCCTCAAGCCGAAAAGCTTTACAAATTACTGTTGATCTGATATGTTCCTGAGACGAGACGCTGATCTAGCTGTCTGTCGAAGTCTGATGACTTCGAAAAGTGACATCTAGAGACGCGTATCTAGCAGGGGGATTCATTTCTGTTTTCATGTCGTTTCACACACAACTTTAATAGCCTCTTAATCAAACAATAAAGCGTTCGCTTAGCTCATATTACATCATTCCTAAGTTTATTAACTTGCTCTTCCTTTCTGTGGGAATCTGTTAAAGAGCACGCAAATCGCAAGCGTGCGCAAATACGATCTGAAATCATTCGTCAGACGGTCCTACTGTAAAGTTTCTGCAGGTTGTGTATTGCATCTTCAAGGCGAGTTTGCTGGTTCAATTCGGAGACGACGCAATGATAGTTTCTCGACCAAGAGAACGAGAAATAAAGTTTTGGTTCTAAGCGAAGGGAGGCAAATGATCATAAATAACTTATTTAAATATTATTTTGTTATTTATGGTAATTAAAAATGTTAAAGAAAACATATCATTCTACAGCAATTAGCACAATTAACTTTGATTTACGGTCCCAGTAACATCGTAATTAAGTGGCCAAACTATTATCGGCCATTTTCTGCCAGAACCATTGGTGGTCGCATAAGACAGGTTTCTATGTGCCTTAATGAACTTTTAGGAAAACAGGACAAATACGAAAAGGAAATTTTATAGATTCTTTTTACACTTTCGTATATTTCGTACAGAGAAAATTGCGTACTGCTGCAGGAAAACGTGTCGATAAATTGACAGAAAATCACGTTTAGGGGATCCCTGATACCGAAAGACATAACCTTAATGTAAGAACTCAGTATGGAGAACAAATTTTATTTGAAGGAAAAATCTCTATCTTTTATTTTGTAGTTGTAGGAAGACTCCCGAAAAAGTTCACAATTTTCAAAAATTCAGACTTAACCCTGAAAATCGGACCTCTGCCGTCTTTATAAGTGCATTTTACTCTATTTTGTCAAAAAAATTTAAAGAAAATAATTGGAGCCGGTTTTGAGAAAATTTTGAAAATGTCCGGAGGGCTTCATGTAAAGTACTCCCAAATTTTTAAGGAACTATTCAAAATCGCAGCGCCTTGAGTTGAGTCAGATCGACCGGGGAATATCCATTCTGGAAAAAATCCTACGTATGGATTAGGCACTAGTGGTGTTCACAGACGGACAGACTGATGAACGGACGTTTTGAAAAACAAACACTTTTTCGGTATCAGGGTATCAGGTACTTTTTCGGTATCGGTATCATAACATATATTTCCGTCGAAATCTCGAAATCGATTTTCCGCAGCATTACAGAACTTTCCCTATACTACGTATATTACTCCGTATATGCGTATATATACAGGGAAGTAAAGAGTGTGGACGCCCGATAAGACCACCGGACAAGCAAGTCGAAAATATTGGCGACAACCCGTTCCTCGAAGGACGAGAACTCAAAGAAGCACTGAGCAAGCTGAAGACACACAAGAGGACCGATATCGAACAAACAGCTACTACTCGTTTCTACGGCTCACTCGGTCATGTTGCTCCTCGTAAGCGAATATCTCAGACGACGCTTGAGTACGGTACAGAGCACCGAGAATAACTTGTTTCTACAGAACCTTTTTCAAACATAGAGTGCTGGTAGCGGCAGAAGTCCCACCCATCTGCCTCCTTGTACAGAAAAGGAAACTCTTCTAGCGAATGAAGACTCGTCCGGGTAGTCGATGAGCCCGTAGAGAAGCCAGAGTCCCCTCAATAAATCCCTGGCAGAGCAGCAGTGGGAAACGAATGCCGTGGACAATGGACAGCTAGGCTCATCCCACCAACAGGAAAGCTCCAAAGGTCCAAACGAAAGTATGACGAAGTCTCCTTCCATCTGGCACAGTTTCTCACTGGTCACGTATATCCGTAAATACCTCCACCGGCTGAGGAGAGTAAATAGCGGAGAATGTGCGTAGAGCTCACTTTCTTCGTCTGGAAGTGATGAGCAGGCAGCAGAAAGTTGCTAGAACAATACGCTGGGGCAATAAATGCCGGCAGCAACATTGAGACGATGTTCACCAACGAAAAACCAGTCGTGCTAAAAGAACACACACGTTCTCACATTATTTCTAACTTTTGCAATTTTCAAAAATTCAGAGAGTTTAACGCATATGAGATCTGCGCCATTTGCACTCACCGTAGAACCATTTTTTTTAAATTGCAGCCGTCTTTGAGATTTTTTTATAAAAAGCAAGCAAAATTACGCGAAAACTGCAAGTTTTTCAAAAAATTGTACATGACCATTTTAATGATCTTTTTTATATTCTTAATTTTTTGCAATTTTTTAAAATCACACGAATTTCGCCGAAATTGTGATCAGCCCTACTTTTACATACGTTCTTTGATACATACGAGGATAAAATTCAAAATTTGGAGACATTTTGGAAGTGTAATTGAGGATTCATATAACGTCTGTACTTGGCGCGACAGTCCACGTACGGTTCGGGGCCTACCAGCAGCGTCCCGGCCTCGTGGTCAATGGGGTGAGTGTGGATAGCTCGAAGACATCCTTACGCTGTACTCTGTTCTTCAGAACCTGAGAAGCGAGTTTCCTCATCGCCACACAGAGAAATATACTGTGACATTGCAAGGAAAACTCACACCATAATCTTGCCCGACCGGGAATCGAATCCGTGGTCGCGTCGTAGAAAGCGAGCAAGTTGACCAATGAGCTAAACCGTGAGGACTTATATGATATATCCCCAAAATTAAAATATCCATTTCAAACTCGCAGGGCATTGTGTTTGTTCCGATCGATCGCGAAATATCAATTTTGAGGAAAGTCGTTTGAAGGTTTAGGCGCTAGCGATGACAGACTGATGGACAGTCAGACGTTTTGCCATCAATCGATTTGTATCTGTACCAAGGTTTAACAAAGCGCGGATTCTGGCTGCAAATAACGTGTTAGAGGAAGTAATTTACTGTGTCTTACAGCGCGCAATTACAATACTTTATCTTCTTACGAAGTAAGATGAGAAAGTAAAAAGTCTGCTAAAGTCTGCCTAGCTGGTCGCAAAAAAGTCATTGAGTGATTTCGACAACAAGAATGACTCTGATAGAATTAAACGAGCCTGATATATTATAAAATAGATCATAATTATTGCGTAAGAACAATTATTCCTTGTACGCGCCACCCAACTTCCGAGTCTTGATATTTGTGTTCACATTTACAAGAATCCTAGTTATCTAATATATGCAGCTGATATTTACTCTCAAATATAACATTTTACTTCGTGATGGAAGGACGATGCTAAGTAAACTAAGAAAAGCTTTAAATATATGAATTAATTTCAATATAACTGAATTTCAACATTTTAGTTACCTTTTGTAACTCGTATCTTACCTTTTTATGCAAAAGATGGTGTAAAGTTCCATTACTTGCATCTTCAAACACTGTCACTATGTCGTTGATATCAATTTTTACAAATCCCATTAAAAGCAATATATTTGGATGGTGAATTTGACTGTAGAAAGACAATATTAATAAGTAGGTGTATACAAACTTCACACAAATCAAGCATGTTTTTAGCATTTGCCATTAAAAGTTAACAAATATCTTCATTCCACAGACCTTCGTCAGGTAAACCTGTGGTGGTAAAATAATTCCAGTTATCGAATATTTCGGCAAATTGGGATATAGTTACGGAACATTATGTATTGGGAGAACAGACACGAATATTTTTGAAAAATTGGAACATCAAACACACGATTTTCGGGAGACAAAGAAGCAGAATCCTACCCTAATCGATTATTGCAGTTCTACTCGCAACGTGTGAACATAGCAGTGAAACATGGTTATATCTTTGTCAGAATGATGAACGTTAGAGGCAACATAGGGTAGCCACCAATGTGACCTGAGCTCCTTAACTTGAACAAATTCTATAACATCTAAATTATGAAGATACAACAATTTTCATATTTAAGAATTTAAAAAAAATATAAAGTACACCTCTATTTTAGACAGGCAATTTTTTTAATAAACTATTTACTCAACAGGTTAGAAACAGTAAAGTTGTGACACCTGCCAATGGGATGCCTACGGCAAGAAATGAAGCCTGCATATTCTCACCCCATCTGCCACAGTGTCGCCCCGTTTGACGGTACTTCATATAAAAAAATTCTTAATGTTCAAAACTAAACGAGAAAATTATATACATTTTTTTAAAGTAAGCGTTGTATATGGCATGACATTTAATAGATCCTTATTTACCCGGGAGAATTATGTCCCTTGTTAATTAAATATATTTTTGTATAATTAACTTACCTAAGAACGCGTAATTCCTTTCTAAGTATGCTGGAGCCACGATTGCAACACGTTTTTTCACGTTTCACAATTATAGGAGAATGAAAGAATTCAGCATTCATAATTTCTGTGAAGGTTCCACAGGGAAATGTTGAATGATCCGCAGGTACATGTAAACCACTTTCTGGCAATATGGGAATGGGAAGAAGCGAAACGTCTTCCATGTCTGTTCCAACTTGCTGAAAATATAAATTCATTGAATACTTCTAATGTTAATACTTTAGTGTTAATTCATAAATGATTAAACAAAATGATAGTATTATATAGTGTATGGTTGTATACACTACCATTGTATTTTTAAAACCAGATTATCGAACTTGTATTATCACCATTCTATAATATACTATATATATATATATATATATAAAATATATATATATAATATATAGATGTAGTATATATATATATATAAATATATATAATATATATCATAATATATTATATATATACTATATTCACAATCACATGTCACTGGCTCATCCAAGAGAGGGAGGTTCAGGCCCTCTCCCAGCCAATTAAATATTTAAACACCTTTTTTTCCCGTCGCGAATTGGTTTCTCTATAGATCACGCAAATGTGAAGTTATTCCTTCAAGGCCCAGTCATATTTTTTTCCTGGAGGTATGCACGTGATATATTAAGGGGGGATCAGCGTTTCTGCTGAGTCCATTTTTACGCCTCAGTGTTGTTAATGTATGTATGGGGTATGGAAAATGATATAATTATTATTATTATGAGGGGTGAGAGAACGACACACACACGCGCGTGAGGTGGAACTCGAACTCGCCACCTTCTGGCCCGAGACCTTCATGGCCTACTGCCTTAACGTTCTCGGCCATCTGACGGGCTACGCAAACATCTTTTATTAATTCTCAGTACTAAGGATGCATTCCACATATCAATTGTTAACGTTGTAAATATTAGCTGTAAGTCAATCAAATTAAAATACATTTTGAAATAAGTATAAATGAAAAATGCTTTGTAAGAAAGCATCAAGTAGGCTGGACACTATATCTGTGCCCTCCACCCTCACTCCACCATCGACAAAAATTCTGGTTTCGCCTCTGATCAGTATTGGCGTCTCTGTCGGGGGCGGCCCGAGGACACTTCCCTCCTTAATCTTTTCAAGAACGTCCAGTAGTTTTACTTTAGTATCATTACTTACGCCATACGTCCTAAGAAGATAAAGTATAGTAATCGTGCCGCTGAAATTAGCGATTTTTTCAACAGAAAATTTCTTATTGCCAGACCACGAAAAAGTGGGTACACTTTGTAGCAAATTACTTCCTCTAACATATTGTGTAGTCAGTCTCCATGTTTTGTGGATCCCTGATATCGAATAATTTATTGACGGCGAAACGTGTCTGTCTGTCCATCTGTCCGTTTGTGGTATATGTTAGGGCCTAAACCATTCTAACGATTTTCTCCAAAATTTACATTCTATGATCGATCTAGAGCTAGACGAAATCAAGACGAGTTTGAAACGGTCATTTTGATTTTTAGGGTGACTTTAAATGAAGATTCAACATTTTCAAAATGTTTTCAAAAATGGCTACACATGTTTTGATTTAACTTTGTCCTGGTATACCGTAAAGAACGTCTAAAAACGGCTCCAAATTTATGAAGGGCGATAAAAACAACGGCGCATGTCCCAATTTCGTTTAAATATCTGATTTTTCGAAAATTGCAAAAATTCAAACTTTTTCGACGTCTTTGTACAACTACGATATTGAAGGAAGACTATTTTTCCTTAATACAATAAAACGTTCAAGGACAGCTCTTGAAATAAAGTCATGTACAATTGTTTGAAAATGTCAATTGTTTTAGTGTAATTTTGCGTGAAATATAGGCAATTTTTAAACAGTTATTTTCTTAAACACGGTTCCCATTTTTTCTTTAATTATTCTGCCAGTATATATTAAAGACTGGCAAAACTTGGTGCTGATCCCATTTTCGGTAAATTCTATGCATTTTTGAAAATTGCAAAACATTAGTAATGTAAAAATACAATATTAAAGATAGAGATTATTGTCTGTAGTGTCTTATGTATAAAAAATCATATTCAACTTTAGAAGAAAACTAGTAGTTTTGACGTAATTTCTGCTTGATGTTAAGGCAATTAAAAAAACAACTTTTTCTCAAAAACGGCTTCAAATTTTTTCTTTACATTTTCCCATAGCTAGAGGAAAGGACGCTCAGAAAAATTGCACAGGTGTCATTTTGGTTGAAATTTCTCAATTTTCGAAAATTGCGTGTTAGTGATAATGCAAGATACATGTAGGTTTTTAAGCGTCCAAGTGTATACGACAGAGCGTGGTAAAGTGGTAAAGCGAACAGCGTGTTAACTTGATGTGCCTGCGGTCGAGTTCCGGCGCGATTTTTTCTCTTTGATTATTAATTTATTTAATTTCTTTTTTCTGTTTTAAAGCACTTTGGAGGTTTACGTAGTAGTAATCTATAATATTGCTGAGCCGTTACAAATAAAACGAGAAAATATGTGCTGTTTTGGCTTCACTAGCTTAAGAGTTCTTTATTTTTCAAGAAAAAAGGTTAATAAAAAAATTGAAGTCATTATTGAGAAAATGTTGAGGCTTTATGTTAAGTACTCCCAAAAATCAAAATGTTCATTTCAAAATCGCAGGACCTCGAGTTCACTCAGATCGATGGGATAATATCAATTTTGGAATGTCTGAAAGGTTTACAAACAGACATTTTGCTGTCAATCGATTTTCGAATCAGGAACCCACAAACATGGATTTTAACTACATAACGTGATAGAAGAAGTAATTTACTGCAAGTATATAGGAAGAAAATTCATCCACTTTTTCGCAATAAGGTAAGTGTTTTTCTTTCAAAAAATCGCCGATTTCCGACGTACTTATAGAATATTTTCGCTTCTTATGAAGTAAAGCGAAGAAGTAATAACATTGGATGTTTGCTGACTGACAGGCGGAACAAGGTAATATCAAAACCTACTAAGGTAGGATTAAAGATGTTTTTTTTCTTTTTTTTCGGAATTTCATTATGTCGTCACGAGTATTGCCTGTATATTCTACCTCCGAATGTTACACAAGTTTTTTTTTTTACTGGATTTGGGAAAAATGTCTCTTTGGTCTTCAAAAGTAGATACAGAGTTAAGGAAACAACTCAATATGATATTTTGCTTCACATTCTTTTCATATATAGTGAGCGAGTATGTGTTTTAGGATACAGAAATTTAAAAAAAAGGTAATTGTCAATCAACTATCAGAGGTCTTCACTTGGAATACATACCATGAAAATTAGGAAAAAGAACAGCAGAATGCAGGGGTAAATACAACTGTTGGGCACATTTTTATTAATAGTAAAATTATATATTACTACATAATCAACAAATAATATTTGTTTCAAAATTGAATAGTGGAGAAATCATGCAAATGAATAGTGGAATAATCCTAATTACATTAGGATCAAAATTAAGTATGTACTATGTTGGTATGAACTATTCAAATACTTCCATATCTTATGGAAAATGTCTGAAGAATTCTACCTGTATGGCTTGTGTAGGTATCAATTGCTTCCCGTATGGTAGATATACAGATTTATTCCTAATTAAAAAAAAATTAGATTAAAATATATTTTTAATTTGTTGCATAAATTATAATAATTTTTATTTTTTTGCTAAAAGTTTATTAATGACCAGCACCAAAAGTACCAATTTTGTCAAACCTAATATTCATATGACTTTTTTGTAGTAAGTGGATTTTGGAAACTCATACGAATTCTTCTAGGTACCTATTCCTTTTTCATGAAAAAACGCAACGCTTCATCACATTTTTGAATCACTTTTCTTTCAAAACCAGTTCATGATTTCACCTAAGTGAGATTGTCAGTGAAATTATACATAAGTTGTAACAATTACATGTATAATGAAGTGGTAAAAATAAATCATGGTAAAGTGGTAAAAAATAAATCTAAAGTAGTGATCCTTAATTTTATAATTTACAATTAAATAGTGCTGCATCACAAAACCAAATGAATATAAGAAATGCCTGATAAACACATTCTCTTTATGGCAAAAATTCATAAAATGTTAAAATATTAAACTGTTAAAATGAGAAATGAAATAATTAATTTATTACAAGAAATTCAAATTACATATATTATTCTAAATTCAATAAAACTAATAATATCATTGTTTGCAGCCTGAAATATGAAGAGTTAAATAAATTCTCATTTTGAGAATCAATACTTAATGTAATCAGGTTGACGTTTGTTAGGCTAGGTATGACAATTAAAATTAAAGGTAATAGTGGAACCTTTTTTCATCAGATAATTAGACTATCATAAGGTTTTGTAATTATTTGTAAATAATTTTTAAAACAAATTATATTTTCATTTAGAGTTAGACGAAACTAACTTCATGTGCCAATATATTGAAGAGAAATGTTAGGGGATTACATTATTAAGGAAACATAGAAAACACAATTTTAGGAAGAAAAACAAATATAAATAATATCACTTAAAATCAATATAATGCATATAATAATAATATATTTGTAAAACAATTAACTAGTAAATAAATATATGTGCACATTCATTGAGTTTTAATGTTTATACACTTGCTTAATAAAATTGTTTAAACACTCCCATGATTCTGCACTCCTTTAAACAAAGACGTCACCATCATTCAAATGCATAACCTACAGCATTCTAAATTTTTTTGTAAATATTAGAGGATTGATCAAACCTGTGAAATTATTTTCATGTATCATTATTTACTATGAAAGTAGGAAACAAAAATAATAGCACTGAACTATTCAGTACTACTGATAACTTAATTATAAAAATGAGGTATTTTGGCACAGCATTCAAAACATTTAATATTGATATTAATTACATTCAACAATATTTAATTGTTTTAAAAATAATATAATGTAGATCAACGTAAAAATTTGTAATTTAAAATGCACCAACTATGAGTCAGAAAATGAAATTGCATCAATGTAAAGTATATAATTATAGTGCCAAATTTTTGGATGTGTTGTAAACAATTATTTATTCAACAGATATCCGGGATTGCAGACACTCATTGTAACAGAGTATTTTATAAATTATTTGTTGAATTGAGATCACATATGTGGAGATGACTCATACCAACAACAATCCGTCATACATTAGCTCTAAACATGGAAAATTAAGATCAATAAAACAGATTAGAATTCTAGCTACCTGCATCTGATATATCAGTAAATATAATTAGCAAAATTTTACAATTAACATAATTGCAATTCAAATAGATAAAATATTTTAAAACTTACTTGCTCTTCACAGGATCTGAATTTTCTAAGCTTTTGAATGTCTCCATTATTTCTTTTCAATGTCTTCTGTTTAATATTTGACCCAATTCTTGTTAAAGTCCATCTGAAATGCAATGAACAAAGGTATGTAGTTAAGGAGTAGAGTTTGTTACAAAGATCAGTAGATCTCTTTGGTAACTCAGAAAATTTCTACAGATTAGTGGAACATCTACTGCTTAATTCAGCAATTTTGAAATTCTTGGTCACCAAATCTGATATGAATAAAACATGAAGGTGGATATTGTCATAATAATTATGCAAAAAATTTCCAAGACTTCTATTACTATAAAGTAATAGAGCAGTTGGATAAAATAGATTCTGTTTGAACTAGGCTCACATTTATGGGAAATATTTATTGTGTATTTATATGATTGTGTCCCGTCCGTCCCGTCCGTCCCGTCCGTCCCGTCCGTCCCGTCCGTCCCGTCCGTCCCGTCCGTCCCGTCCGACTTACGTTCTTCTAGTTTGCTTGGCCTTCTCCTGACTTTCTTCAGATTTCTTTTCAGTCTTCAGATACTTCTGATGATGTCGTCTGTCGTTGCATTGGACCCACTCTCTGAAAAGAAAAGAGATTTCATTCTGAATATTTATTTAGATTGTCTTGCTAATTCTAATAGTTCGAGTTTTTGAAGATACCGTTCAAAGTATGGCGTTCGAGACAAGAGGTGTCACAACATCACATACTTTCAGCGTTATTTGTAATGGTTTCTTAATATTATATTTAGAGCCCGGAAGTTTAGCAACATGGATTATTACATTGTATATTTTGACATGAACCATTTATCAAAAGCTATACAAAAACATGAAGTGTCAAAATATCCTATACGTAATTCAGTGAATCTTAAACGCCTAAAAACATGAATCCGATTTTTGAATTATTGTCACAGCAACACAAACTCGTAACATGTTTTAGAATCTGGCTATTTTGAAATCGTCTGCGCGTACTTCATGGAATGGAATGATATCAGTGAGACAAAAATTCTGAATAAATTGAATAAAATTAAAAAAAAAATAGATTGACGTGGAGCATGACCCCATACATGGAGTAGAGATATCTCTATAGATAGGTGTATCTATCATCTATGCACACATGCCCACTTCCCGGGATCCACCGTTGTTCAGTAATGTGTTTTGCCTATCCTGAGCATTTGTTCACGAACCGCCGCTGGATTGAACCGTACATAAAGAATTAACTACATCGAAAACTTGGTTTTACAAATTTGAAGAACAGTAATACCAAATGAGATGGTGTTTTATTAAACTTTTGATTTGTCTTTAAAATTAGAAATTTATTATTACAATAGGATTACAGGATAAGAACATACGTTATTTAGGACTCCCGGCCGTACTAAACTAAAATAACATTAATAGTCATTTCAAAATTAAAATATAACTGTTTTGCATGGATAATTGAATTATCTTTTCATTGAAATGAAATTTCTAAATATTTAACTACTTTACTAGTAAGCATTTGTGTGTAGATGTAAATGAGATTTAAAAAATACAGTTTAAATACACACAAATTTAACAAAACTAAAAATTCAAACCTTCTTTATATCGAGATAAGTTAGTTATTCAATGGCAAACCCATTTATTACACTTGAGATTTGTGTGGCGTTTATCTTATTCATGTTATATTGTTGTCCCTCGAAGATGCACTTAGGTAAGAGAGAACCAGTTTCAATGTGCTAAGCAGCTTTCTCAACCAACTATGGATACTGCTCGGGTCAGCATTGTTTGGATTTCCCACTCTGGAGTACGGGAGCAGATGCCATTCTGGATTAAATTCCAAAGATTTGTGTGATCAAGAAATGTTCTTGTCTGTCGGAGATGAAAGCAGCATTTTGCAACCACTTATTTTGTCATAAAGCTGATCACTAGGGGGTGGATTTTAATAAAATGTTTTTTTGTTCACTTAAGAACATTGCCGTTTAGTATTGACATTAATTTTAAGTTAGGACAAACCAAAATGACCCATTTTTTACATGTCATTTTTTTGCATTTTTCGACAAATAAGTCATTTTTTTCGTAATTTTTAATGCATTTTCACTAATTTCATTGATTTTAATATTGTTTTAATGGTAATTGCTTCAAATAATATATACGAGATGCAACAAATATTCTCCATAGAATTCCTGAGAAGTGTATTCAATTTTTTAGCTCAGAAATTGTAATGTCAGCCGTTGTATGTAATCTAAGGTTCCTATGGCGCCTATCAGCGCCATTGTCGATTCGGCGGATTTCACGATGAATTAAAGCAGAGATAACAGGAAAAGAATAGTCATATCACACCCAGGCAAACGAAAGAATTTGATCACGATAACTGAAATTTGTATACAACGATTTTAGAACTAGATCCAGCAATGCACAATACTTTTAAGCGAGATTCTTGATGCACTGCGGAATAAACAGAAGTAGATGAGGATGGTATCTGGGCAAGAACATCTCCAGTATAACGTAAATGATAGAAGGACGGGCAGGATCCACCTATCATAATACGATCGTCATAAAACAAAGCTATATGTACTCCAGTATCTTCCGATGGAAATGAAGTGGTGATATCAAGAGATCATAGGTGCCATAAAGAAAGTTTCGGTCCGCCTCCACAAAGCATCCAATCATCGTTGAGGGCAACCGCTCCCACCCACTTCCCATAATCACGTCTGGCAACTTTGCTATTCATGTGTGGATGGATGATATGCGAACAAACCTTCTGATTTTAATCCCAGAGTTTAACTGAACCATCTTCACTAGCAGATGCCAGCCGGTTGCCCCAGTAGCTAACCAAACCTTTGTAAGCTGAGTTCACTTGAACGAAAGGAAGAAGCCTCGACTACATCAGTAACAGATACAACTGCCTGAGTTGTTCATTTTAGGTGGATTTTCTTTTTTTTTTTTTTCTTCACATTTTACGTCATTTTTCTTTGTTTTCACGGCATTTTAAAAACATTTAAGAGTATTTTATTGATCATTTTTGGTGACATTTAGGTAATCAAAATCCGCCCTGATCACCACCTACATCCCTATAAGTAACTTTTCCCGAGTACATTTATTTTTCTTAGGCTGACGAATGTGAGTAACTAGTTTGGTTTTCTACTACATTTCAAATTTCCTTTTATGTATATGAGAAAACGTAACTTGCTACCCGTATCCATCAATCGTTCAAACCTTCATTAATTGTACAATGCAGTCGGTCTCTTGGGTTTTCATTTCCTTCGCCCTTTCTTTTCAACCTTTCGTCTTTACATAATTTCTCTGGACGTATCTTTTTGGGTCGACTTTTCTCCATTTCGATATTCCAGTCGTAGCAAGGTTTCACACCATCATTCGGGGGGATTTAAGCTATCTTATTATAGATATATCTGGATTAAAAAAATACAGTATCTCCAAAAGTATGAAGTTATTTATAAAGAAACAACTACAAAGTATTATTAAGGATTGTAGAGAAACAAAGGAATATTAAAGAATTTTCGCAGGGCAATATCTGATATATTTTGAATTATTTAATTGGTTCAAAAACCTTTGTGATATTCTTTAATAATTATTTCTTTTAAAATTTTCCAAAATACGTTTGTGTTGCATAACAAAAATGTCTATAAATTGTAATAAAATAACAGATTTCCACAATTTGATATTTTCTTTTTATATGACAATCTGACTATTGTTACCTGACTTTCCGCAAGGCGGCGCCCGGAGCACGTTTCCCTGGCTACCACCCCCTGTTATGGCACTGAATTCGATCAGCCAGTGATTCAGAAGCACTGAATTTTTGTTTCAAAATTCATATCACATATTGCTAACATAATGTGTTTTTTGTGCATAGTGCATCAGGACAATAAAATTAAAATTTGACATTAATGTTTTTACTCTCACCTTATATTAAATAAATATAATTTTTATAATATAAATGTCGAATTTTTGCTACGTCGGTTATGAAGCTACCAAAAATTAGTATTGATTTACTTTTGATTATAGAAAATTATAATAACACTCCTTTCACTATGTCTATTAATATTGTAAGTATTCCCATTGTATATTCAATCTAGGAATGACTTCGATTCCACACCGAGCGGATTTCAAATTGGAATCCACGGCCTGCCCGATTACTCGAATTTTCGGAAACGAGAGCATCTGAAAATAACAAAACGATATTTTTACAGAGGTGAACCATATGGAGAAGAAGCAAGGGGAGGACAGTGAGAAGAGAAGGAAAATGAATAGAGGAAGGTGAATAATGAGGGCGGAGAAGAGGAAGACAACGGAGTCGAGGCAGATGGAGGAAGAAAGGAGGAAGATGAAGATGGAGGAAAGGAAAACGAAAGAGGGGAAAAGAGAGAGTGGGAAGAGAAGAAATAGAATCGAAAGCTGCGAAGCCAATCTTATGCAGGGCATTGCGAATTTTACACCTCTAGGATGGTTTACATTAGTACATTATGTAATTCTCAATTGCTTTCATTTCTTTGTTCCTGTTCGAGGGTAACATTTCTAGTCAATTGTCCGGTTTGTTTTCTCTAGTGCTAAACTACGAAATATACTTCATGTTAGACGTTTCTCCGACGTGTTTAAGGAACGTAAAATTACGCAAAAAGCTAATCTCATACAAGTCTCCAGAAATCTTGAAGTTTAGACTGTCAGTTCGAACTCGGAGTGATACATGTATTGTATGTGGATTTCGTTTAGTAATCTGACGATACTAACATATGATGAAATTGATTTCTACGATGTGTGTTGTAATTATAAATATCAGTATTAAATGAAAATATGTTCCCACCGTTAAGGAAGTTTGTTTTGACAACGACTACAGATTCATAAATAAATAAGCAATGCAATGATAAGATTCCAAGCTCAATGAAGAGAGGCTTACAGGAATCACGTGGTTGGCATCTTTTAATTATTCGAATATTTGTTTCTGCAATCTAAAGGTCTGGGTACTGTAGAATGAGGTTCCCCTGAACATTATACAATATCTCAGGCGGAAATGTATATTTGTAAAATACACGCGAGCTGTTTCATTTTTTGACTGAACTGGGAGACCCAGAAATGTTGCTACCTTTACATAAGCCAATCGCATATTGTTAATTTTAATTTTTTCCTGCAAAATAATTAGACTCAAAGTGCACCCCCCTACGTCCTTAAATATTCCTTGATATTACTAAACAATTAACATCTACCGGATGTAAAGTACGTGTAGGAGTGAATAATGCAATATGTTTGCACAAATTATCATAGCAATATTTCGGCGCAAACGCGCGTGCATCTTCAGAATGCAAAAAAATGAAGGGACAATTCATGTTTCCCCCACGGATGTAATTCCCAACATAAGTATCTACAAAATACGATAAACATGTAATAAACAGTGAGATTTCTTTAAAGGTCGCATTAACATCTAGGTCATTTGCAAGCACTAACGTTGTGGTAAATGTCAACTCAATTGGGACTCAATGTGGGACTCAAACCCTCCATCTTTCGGTCCGACATCGCTATAGCGCCTTAGCGATATCGGCCACCGGATCGGCAAAAGTAGGATTGTATATAGGAAAATTAATGTTTTATCTTTTCAACATGTCACAATCGGATTTTTTAAACCCTTAAAACGGTGTAGTTAATAATGCAATTAAGATTATTACTATCGAGGAACAATGTTCGAAATTAAAACTAAGTAGAGACATCTTGGAACGTGTTTTTTGTGAAAAAACAGGAATTAAGCGTGCGAAAGTTACATGCACGAATACACATTTGTTTAAACTTTGTGATGGGCATTTTAAGTTATGCCCCTGGAAAACGTACGCAGTACCAGTAAACTTCTAGCAAATGCCAGTTAATGAAAACCTTCGCATCCGGATTCATCGACAGCTTCGAGCGGGGTTCATAATTATCAATCGGATGTGGCAGGTAGCAATTCTTGGGGCTACTTTCAATTGTTATTTATTCTTAAAGGCTCCCATTAAAATTATGACGTATGAATCACAACACACCATACATATTTTTCCACAAAAACAAACCTTTACTTATCAAGCTATACTTTTATTCGCATGTGTAATTAAAGTTCAATATATATATATTGAACATTTTCTTATCAAATTATGAAACTAAGTACTAATAGTATTGCATGTAGTTACCTTTAACGAGAATACTTTTCCTATAAAAACATGTCCCCTAATAATATAAAAAACACTAGTGTGTGAGCATGGAATATAATTTATTTAGCTTTTACGTAGTTAACAAATTATAAAATTTATCTCACCTAAGAGAATGTATTTTTCAATGCACGGTTTTGGAGTGCTAGATAAATCGGAGTTGTGAAACATTTGTGATTATGATTGTCGTGTTTGGAATGCCTTCTAGATCCTGGATCATTTAACGATCAGAAGCAGAAAAATTCTTGTATTGGTAATGCCCATAAATACATTTGCTGATGACATATGTAGATGTTCAATCTCAATTATACGTCTTACAGCATTTAGCAGCATGAAACCCATTCACGGATTTCCTGAGAAGAAAATTGTTGTAATAACTATCATGCACATGGGACGAATTTCTGTTTCTCTGCGTATGCATTATTCAACCGAAAAGGCTTTCTTTCAGATCTTTCCTATTCTCACTGAAAATAATATTGGGAATTATTATTGAACAATTTTTTTAGGTAGCTGATACCTGTGGTATATTCGAGATGGACTCAGTACATAAATTTAAAAACCATCTCATTGAGACTTTCTGAAGCAGTATGAAAATCAAATCTAATTATAGGTATGTGAAAATATTACTTTCAAAATAAAGCGCATTAATTAATAAATTCATTATATCATTCTTTGAAAAGTTTTATTGTGCATATAAACATTAGAGCTTATACGAAAGTATGAATTTCAACAACAAAGATGCCCTAAGATTAGGAATATTAATATAAACTAACGTTTTATGAGTTTGTCTTGAGTGCATGCATATGCTTTTTCATATGCTCAGGAAAAGGTGATATGCACCGAGGTCTTCAGGTAGGTTGGGCTTACTTGAGATTATATCCAGAAGCATTTAGCAAGACTACATCAGGACTTCCAGGCTGTCCGGGTAACGCCGCGTCGTTGGCAGAGAGGCCGACGTTTCGCCTGTCATATCGCAGGCTTCTCTGCCAACGACGCGGCGTCCGGACAGCCTAGAAGTCATGAACTCGAGCCGCGGAAGCCTACGTGTACAAAGACTACATCAGCACAAAAGTGTTGAGGAAATAAAGTTTCTAGTAAATAGTGAACTAGACTTTTAAACAGTTCATGCGAAAAATGTACGATACAGCGATATAGCGAAGTATATTTCTTTTAGTGGATTTCATTGCAGGGATTATTTTGAATACAAATCCGTATTGGTGAATGCATATTTTAAATTTACTTATTCACGCATTTCACTCAATATCTTGACAATTGTTTGGCATTTAATATTCATTAAAAGAAATTGTTGCAAGGAAGAAGACGGACATGTCCAAAATTTTCCACATGTATACAGGGCTCACGAACACACCAGCAAAACAGTAACAAGCTCTTTCTTAATTTCGTGGTACCGTAAAGTGATTGATACAAAAGTGACAGGAATAGCGCGTGTCTTGAAACAAAAACAAAAAAATTTGGAACTTCGTTAAAGTTCTACAAAGAATGTTAATTAGAAAATGGACATTTGCTGCTTCGAAAGGAATGAATAATTATTTAGCGTAATATTGTTGCCAGTAAAATGGTTGGCAATCATTTCAGACATGTATATGTATTAAACTAAAAAGAAAGGAAATGAATAATTTGAAAGGAATGAATACTTATTTATCGTACTATAGTTGCTAGTAAAATGGTTGGCAATCATTTCATACATGTGTATGTATCAAACTAAAATGCTTTGCAGGATTTGAAGGGCGCTCGGCCCCGTGGCGTTGTGTGTCCCCCTCCCCGGCCAACGGCGCGCCGTGCTCCGCGCCTCGCGTTTCCTTTTCCTCCGGTTTTTGCGCGGCGCGGCCGGAAGGAGGCCGAAGAACAGAGCGAAGAAGAGGAAGAGAGCGCGTCGCTGTGGCGACCTCCAGCGCGGGCACGCTCACCGCGACAGCCAGCCGAGGAGGCCCATTGCGGCGACCGGTATCCGTCGTCAGCCGGCTGCCAGGCGCTGGTCGCCCGTCGCCCGTCGCCTTCGTCACGTCGCCCGGCCACCGGCGGCTCGGCGTGCTTGCAGCCCCGTGCTGCTCCGTGCTATGGTCGCCAGAGACAACTCCATTCCCTCGCCGCCTGCACACCGGCCGCCGCCGCCGCCGCCACCACTACCACCACCACCAGCACCACTCGCCACCCACGCTTCGTTCGGCTTCGCCCGGTTCGCAGCATCGCCCCCTATTGTAGCCGCCACTGTGACCGGAAGCGCCGAGGCCAGCCCCGCGCTGCGCTATTGTTACGCTCTTTTAACAATAAATCACGGCGCCGTGGCCGCTCCGCCGCCGTCGCCGACGCCGACTCAGGGCGGCGCACGCATCCGCGCCTGAGCCTAGCAGCCAGTGCGGTGCGGAGTGGTTCCTGTGGCTTTTCCTATACGTCTTTCAGTTATGGCAAGTGCGGAGGTTGACGGGCGCTACTGCAGTTTCTGGGTCGGCGAGGGCGCTTGCGAACGCAAGTGCTTCTCGATCGCATACGACAGTGGTGAACACCGCCGAACGCAGCGAACGCAGCAGTGGCGTGAGTGGTTGGGCTGATAATGAGAATGCGATCCATTCAAGGGAGGAAGTGGTGGTGTCGACGGGGCCGAGGAGTGGAGAAGCGAGGGTCCTCGAGGGCGGCGCTGGGTGGACGGTGGACGGCGGCCGGAGGCAGCGGGGCCGGAGACGGGGCTGTGAAGTTGGGTACGTGGAGGACGGAGCTAGCGAGGGGGAAGGGCGACGGGGGGACGCGGCGTGGGTGCGTGGGACTGGACGCGGCAGGGGCGCCGCTGGGAGCGGTGGTTGGAGTAAAAACAGCGGTGAGCGTGGCGTGGGCGGCGGCAGGTGTGGCCGGCGGGCGGAGGGCGGCGGGGAGGGCGGAGGGCGTGCCGCCATGGGGCTCCTATTCAAAGGGAGGAGCGCACCACTCGCCCTCTCTCGTCTCACTCGCTCGCCTCGCCTCCACCTCCCGCGCCGCTTCTGCTCCGCCCCCTCCACCCGACAATACTCTCGCCGCCAATTGAATCTTTATTTTTTGTCCACTCGTCTGACGTAAGGTCGTTAATGTAGTGCGATACTGTTAAATTCTAATGGGTAACAGCTCAAAGAGAGACTCGATTTGCAATATTATGTAACTGAAAGGAGGATGTTTATCTCTCGGAAACGGATTCCCCCTTGTAAGAATGCAATTAAGAACATACTTCACACAAGGACAATCTTCAATACCTTCAAGCAGATTCTACCTTGAGTGGAAAAGTAGCATATATGAGCATCTAGTGTTTCAAAAATGTGCATTCTCAGAAAAGCAAAGATCTTCTGTAGATTTGTAATTACTCGTGTGATACAAATTAATTTCCAGTTTGTATTAATTTCTAGACACATATTCCAAAAATAAAATTCTGTGCAACGGATTACTTTAGGGAATTTCCGAATTTGTTTTCGAAGGGCTTTGAAGTGGAAAACAGACAATGAGTCAGCATTCGCACATAAAACGCCCCAGAAACGAAAAGAAGGTAACGAAATAAAATGGCAAGACCCATGAAATGTGCTTGAGTAGCACATAAATATTTATTGTTTACAGCGAAACTATTTTAAAGTGGTCATGCTTGGAGTCTTGTAATCTCTTGAATGTGTACTGTTACTTAAATGTAGTGGCTGAACTTAGAAGTCTGAGATCAGCCCCGTCTCAAACTGTCCAATGGATCCTTCCCCTAGATTTGTTCAGATTTTCAAAATAATATTTTGTTCATATTTGTTGAGAAAGTGCCCAGCTGAGGTGGCTCAGTGTATCAACTAATGCTAGTGCAGCTCCTCTCCAGGAGGCTGTGAGGGTCGAGTCCCTTCTTTGGCAGATTTTTTGACACTGGCCATTTGGCTCGGCCGAGTTCAGAGAGGTCTGGAGGAGAATTGTGGTAGGCGGGGGCTCTTATCGGTAGCCTTCCATGATCAGTACCTGACGAATGCCGGAGCAGTTCCCTAATGAACAGGCCCCGGGCCACGATATTTCCTTCCTCTTCCTTGCCATATCGTCACCCCCTTACTTACACAATTTCATCCACTTCACTACTACACATGTCGTGCGACCAGATGGGAGCTTAGAGCTTGTCCCGGCTGGGGCAGGACCCCGCTGGGGGAAATATCTTGTGAAGCTTCACTATTTGTTTGTTTTCTTGAGCTCTTTCGGGAACGTAGATATTCGAATAATCGTTTTCCGTATCATCGCGGCAGTAAGCCGATTCTCTAATGTAAAGAGCTAGGGATAAAAGCCTACATCTGCAGCTGATTTGCCTTTGCAAACAGTTTTTATTGCAATTTTTCATATCAAATCTGGCCAAAAACACTCATTGCTACAGCCATAATTCAACTTAATATGTATATCAGTCAGAACAGACATCCCAGAGCTAAAAAAACTGTTCACATATTGCGCTTCTGCCCATAGTACATCACTCAGTTTTAACAGTTTTTGACGTTAAATAATTAAATAAATAGTTTCTTATCTCCATGAGGAAACCTCGCAAGCCGACATGTAGGTCGGCGCCGGATTTCACTATCCAGCGGGTAAAGAACACCTCATCCGGATATATACCATGCACTACACTTACGTGCAGGTCCGGATTTAAGGGTGGGCGGTGGCCCAGGTGTCCCTATCAAATTCATAACGTGGAAAATTGTGGGTTTTAACAAAAGTTAGACCATGAAAATAAAATGCATATATTTGTTTTCATTTGAGTACCACATTTGTGTTTACGAATTTTAATTGCATATGTTACATTACAAAAATACTGTTCATTTTATTCTTTAATTTTGTTTTAGTTGTATATTTATTTTACTGAAACTTCACATAGACTTTTTCTGTTGCATCGACTCGCAACATTACACAAGTGTCATTTATTTGTTGTATTTCATTTAACATTAAATGTATGCAGTATTTGTTTTATAAAGATTTACTTAATAAATTATTTTCAAGAAAATCTCCAAACATTGTACAAAAAAGTCTGTTGAGTGTTCCGCGAACCTTTGGATGAGAATTTCCCTTTACAGCGTTGATACATTTTCAATATTGGGATGCGATATGGAGGAGGGGCTTTCCAAAAACCTCGCGTCTACAGGCGTACTATGAATTTTGAAATTAAATGTACGAAACTAGCTGAGGTGGCAAAGAGCGTGTACCGACTCAGTCCTTCGGCTCAAACGGTCGCGCGTTCGAGTCCCGCCTTGGACATGCTTGTTTGTCCCTTGTCTCTCATGTCTCTCATGTATGTCGCGGAGGGCCTTGCTTTCTGCTGACTCCAGATCAGCGGAGCCCGCAAATGTGTTGGTGTCTAGTGTATGGTCGAACACGCGTTCCATCGGGGCGTAAAGGGTTAACCGCATGCCGGCTGGATAAAAACCCTAGAATAAAAATGAAACTTAGCTACTAAAATATACTTTTTTTGGAGGATGAGTAATAATCACGTGATTCTTATAAGCCTCTCTTTACACATCTAGGTATTTTACCATTACCTTGCCTCTTCATATATGAATCAGTGGTTATTGTCAAAAACTACTTACTTAAGGGCGGAAATGTATTTTCAGGAAACGCCTTTGCCTATAACTACAGCACTCGGCGTCGTTATCATATTCATCAGGTGACAATATCAACTGCTCACTATAAAAAATTCACATATAATACATGTACATTATTTTACACCACCTTGCCAGATGACATTAAACAATTAAATTCTATGCAAAATTTTAAGTCCCAAGTAAAATATTTTCAGCTGCAGAACTGCTTCTATACAATTAGAAACTATACCGAGCATCCAAAAGGAAAGTAATATTAATTTTAACAATGACATTTAATGTATTATATACCATTTGGATTGTATAACTGTAAAGAACCTGTAACAAGTATTGTACTTCAGCTTCTGAGTCAAAGGTCCCCATCTCGATCAGATTTTCGTCCAGTTTCCCTGATCCCTGAGCAAATGCTGAGATGGCTCCTTGTTTTGCTTCTGGACATAAATGTAACTTCAAAGTAACTTCTCCCCATAGCATGTCACACAGTTTTTAACCGTTTTTGACGTATTATAGACAAATTAGTGGCGAAACACGATTTCTTAAGAAACACATCACAGATATGCCAATCGCGGTAGTGGCAACGGCAATTCCCTTTCGTCTTCCGCTTGCAACGAGATTATTGAAGTAGTACAAGAAGTGCACGATGTAATTATTGTAAGAATAAACTAGTGGCGCTACTTTCTCGCATTATTAATTGTTCCGCTATATTAGACTACTGTATAAACACACAAAGTGTTTTCAAACATCAAAAATAATTTTCCGCACCGTGACTGTAACTCAAGACTTTCGAGTTAATCCGCCGGATTCGTCACCAGATGAAGGCGCATACATAAACTCACTCTGATTTTTCAATACACTGGAGAATTTAATTTAATTGATGCCTTATTTTACGTGGCGAGACTGGGGCCATCAGACCCGGTGTTCCGTCTGACCTCGCAAATTTCGCTATGCTCCTTTCACTAGCAGAGAAGGGAGGAACTTCTTGGGCGAGAAACAGGCGATTTGAAATTAGCTCAGAGGCGTCATTTAGGCTTGAGGATCTTTTGCATGCAAGTAAATCTACTAACATGGGCCAGCCGGCTTTACTTCCCCTTTGAAGGAAGGCGTAAGAAAGATTTTTTTTCGCCCTTAAAAGTCCACGGCTTCGATTGAGTTTGAACCCGCCAACTTGGTATATCAGTCCGATTCACTAACAATTACACTATCGGCGCGCGCACTCCTGTTGAGTGTTTTCTAATGTTCTTGTCGATAAATGTCACATTGGGTAAAATATATTCGAGGATTTGAATAATGTTTTAAATGTGAATAATTTGGATACTAAACGTTGTCGAGTACAGTCGTACGTCATCGGTTCTGCCATGAGCGAGTAATACAGTGGTCT